GTACTATATATGTATTTACATAGATTTTTTTTTTTTAATCCAAGCAAGGCAGTAAAGCCAGTAAGATACAAGGGGTTACTGTGTGCAGAAGAATTAAAATGCAGAAACATTACTAAGGAGCAATAGAAGAATAATCAGGAAGACAGTAAATAATGATTGATATTGCATTTAAAATTTTAGAGATCAAAGTTAACTGGAAAGCATGGAGCTGAAAGAGAGGTCCACTAGCGAGAAGTGCAAGAAAAGAAACTGTTAGCATAGAACTTATGGTTACATCTAGCCAATTTAATTATAAATTGATGGAACTTTGTTGCCAATCTAGTAATGCACTTAAATTCATAAAGTTTAGGTACCATTGTGAAGAGGTCATCCAAACAATTACCATGAAAGTATTTATAGAAAAGGCACAGGGAAGCAACTTTACGGCAATGGGGAAAGTGACTGAAGCCTAGTTGTCAGGTCAGGACTAATAATATTGCTGATTCTTCTTTGGATTTTATCAAGAATCTCTAAATATGTAGCAGGAGCATTGGACCATATGTGGCAACAATATTCTAAGCATGGACAAATGGTAGACTTATAGATATGTAGGATAGATTCTGGAGAGAAAAATTGTCTAGCATGACACAGTGAATCAACTTTAGCAGCTGACCTAGCAATGGAAACAACATAGTTTTTCCACTTCATGTCAGCAGATAATGTTATCCCAAAAAGGCATAGCAAGTCGATCCCCTGGAGGTTAGCCATGCTGATGGAAGGCAGAAAGGGGTCTCTCAGAAAAACAGATATTTACAAAAGGATAAATGGATATATACATTTTTATGCTTTATTTTAAGAAAATGTCTGAAACAGTAAGAATTGTCTGGAAAAATAGATTTCTTTTTATATTCATTCACAAAGATTTGCCATTAAAGAACAGATATATATATACGATTTTAATTAAAGAAAAGATTTTCCAAAAGAAATAAATGCTTCAACAAAATTTGTTTGTCTTTCAGAGGGGCAAATTTTTCAATTATTTCAAAAGAATAATTAATATTAAAGAGGTGAATTTTCACATTTAAATAAGTTAATAATATATATATATATATATATATATATATATATATATATATATATATATATATATATATATATATTTCATCATTTAAGATAAATAATTAGTATACTCAATGTCTGTACATGAATGTCTGGAAACGTCCCCACCAATCACTAGAAAAAAATTTTGTTTAAATATTCATAAAAAATGTACACAAATATCAATAACATAAGCACAGTTTCAAATTGACACTGAGGTTGTGAGGTGGTTAAACATTAATTCCAATCAGAAAAAGGGTTAAGCCCTAAATGAAATATAAACTGGAAGATAGAAAGAGAGAATGAGAGACATTTTCCTTGGTAATATGGAAGGGAAAAAAAGGGCCATGTGGGTTGTCTCATCTCTACGAATTGGAATGATGCACAAAGAGTTTACGTTTTATTTTTTTTATCTATCAAAATTCTTGCATGTATGTAAAGCAAATTGGGAAATGGCTTTATCTCTTTTTTGGGAAATTAGAAAAACACATGTCATTGGTGAAAAGAGAAGTAGACAGGAATTATATTTTCATTAGCAAAAATGAATTGAGAATTGAAAACCAAGAATGAACCCACTGTAAAGGTTAGGATTATGAAAATTGATCTGTCATAACAGGAAGGTGATCTAATTTATGTTTTTGCTAAGACAGCGACTGACTCAAGGAAGGAAAACGGCATGTCTCTTTGAGAATCTAGGTAAGCAAATATATTTTCGTTGATGAAAACAAATTAGGAAATAATTTTATCTGTTGCCCAAAAGATTACAATGAGATGATCTGCATTGTTTTTTCACCAGACAAGTGGGTCCAGGAAAGAAGTCAGAGAATTGAAATTAATGAGAAGAATAAACCACATCCTTTCTCTTATGCACTTTAAAAATTAGATTTGTCACATAGACAGTTATGCCAGCCCTGAGAAGTGGGCAGAGTTAGAATACCAAGGAGGAAGGAGCAAAATTTAGTCTTGCCTGTTGCAAGTTGTGAAGGTTGGAGTTAAGTGAGGAGCAATCCCTGTGACTACTCCCAAGGAAGGCAGATAATTCTCCAAATCTGGAAAGTTGATTAAGAAAGCAGAAATAGGGAGCAAAGAAAACCTTTATTGGAATTAAGGAAAATTAGCGAATCACCTTCAGGCCCCACACCAGTTTTGGGTCAAAGTGCATATAAGCAAATAACTTTAGGGATTTGGGGCTGAGAACCCACATCAAGTGCTTCTGAAATCCATGTCGGCTGCTACCAGATTTCCTGATTATTCCAAGACTTTGGATCCAGCTCCTCCAGAAGTTTAGACAAGGCCCAGTGTCACTATAGAGATTGATGTGGGAAGGGTTAATTTTTGTACCAAGAGCTATATAAACTAATTGAAGAATAACTCCACGAATCTCTTGTTTTATTTTTTGTTGTGAAGATATTTTTTTCCTTAATACAGTACCTGCCTCAGCTTGAACCAGCGCTGTGAAACTATGACCTTTTGATTTTCCTCTGTTTTGAGATCAAGAACACAGCGTGGGCAGAGTTGGTATGGATTGAAGTGGCCAGCGACCAACAATCAGCTTGGACCAGTGTCATCATTGACCAGTGCAGAGTTAGCGTTGTGATTAAAACATTGTTCTAAGACCCTGAGGACCGGACCACTAAATGTGGTTATACCACCGGGTGTAGGCGGCAGTGAAAGGTGTTATAAAATGTGACATCTGTAAACAAATTGTTTTCAGAACTTAAGTCAGGGATTGATTTTACTTTATATCATTTTTATTAACTGAACCCTCTCCCCCTTTCTAAATCAATAAAAACGATCAATATTTTTCAATTCTGACAAATGTTGATGCCTAAGGAAGGTCTCCAGAATACTAGTAAACATTATTTCACAAAATATTTTTTTTTTTTTTTAACCAGTGGACCAATCTACTTATGTAGTACCAACTAAATTAAACTTTGTAAATATCCATACAAATTTGGCTTTTGTATCTATGAACAGTTTCATGGCTTGTAACATATCAACTCCAATACAATACTTGTATAGTATCAAACAAGTGTTCTATTTTTCCTTACAAATTACTTTTACACCTTTGTGTATATCTGCTATTTAAAATAGCAAAGATTTTGAATTATTGGAACTTTTTTGACAAAGGGTGGCTGGTAGATAATGCAACATTTTGCCCAAAGGCAACCAGATAGTGTACAAGCTGAAGCATTCAACTTTGGCTTTCAGATGTATTGAGATACACTAGATTAAACAATTTTCCAGATCAATAGAAACCTATGTTGTTTCAGGACTATCTGTATAGAGCTTATGGCAACATCATGTTGAAACACTGGTTCTTGTACAATCACCAAAGTTAAGCAACATTGAGCTTGGTCAGTACCTAGATGGGTGACTATTATGCTGTAAACTTGGATGTATGGTGGTGTAATAAGTAATGGCTCTAAATTGGAGAGCTGAGTTCTAATTGAGCTGCTCGGCCTGGAGGCTATGATCAAAGTGTAGTACGCTGCCTTTGTGAGCTTCCGAGTCGGCGTCTGTCGAACTCTCTGCATTAGCAGAGAGGAACCCGAAGCTTTGCCAAAGGGCAAGGTTTCATTCGGGGAGGTAGACAGGGCCTGAATCCGTCAAAGGCGGGTTCAAAAGGCTATATTTTTACCGTGCCCTACGGGCTCGGGGATACCCACATTAAACCGGCCTTGTGCCACATTCTATCCTTGTGGGTGGATCGATAAATACTGAGAGCTGAGTTCTAATACTACTCAGGTTTGTGATATTCACCTATGTGCAAATACCCTTGGGAAAAGTATGCATCCACCTCTTCTTGACCCAGCTAATTAATTAGTAGGATTTGTATCAGTAAATCATTATCTCCAAAAACAAATTCTTACAATCTAAAAAAATATTTTCTGGCTTTAAATAACCTGCAAAAGGTCGATTAATCATAAACAATGACTCAATCAATCATAAAATCTATCTTAATAATTATATACAAAATTATCCACACACCTTATTTTTATATTCATTCTATGACTGTCCTTAAGCAATAAAAACATTTTTAGTCTTTAAAAGCAAAGATACTAATGATGCTACCTTCCAAATAGCCAATTAAACTTGTCATTCATATTTAATCTATATAATAAATGCAAATGTCACTGTCACACCTTTTCAATTTTACTCCTAGAGGCCATGGACCAACATATCATACCCTTTTGGAATCAGGCCAGCTCCATGAGCAAATAATATCCATTCCAGGATGGATCCAAACCCGCAATCCTGAAATTACTGTGATTGTTTTTGGTGTGATTTTTTTTTTTTTTGTTTTGTTTTGGTTTTATCAAAATGAATTGCAAAATCCAGCGAAAGTCACTCATGAAATAAAAATAATTAATAAGGACCTACATACATCAAATTATCTTTAAATTTAGTGGCAGCAGAAGAATTATCATTGAACTTTTAAAAGGTAAGCTTAAATATTAATGCAGTGATCAATTTTGAGTTCTTCTGTAGTTTATTGTTACCTATCACATCTACTCTCTACCTATTGTGATGAAGGCCCAATCAAGAGCCCTCCACATGAGCTAACTTAAATGTCACTCGATAGAACGGCTTTTAAGCTAGTTTAAAATAATATTCATGCTTGAAAGTTACAAAGCAATGAAAGTATTAATCATGTTATGTTAGTTTTGCTTCACTTACATAGCACAAAATAAAAATACTTTATATATAACATTACAAAAATTTACTTTGCCCTACTGTAAAGTAGCTTGTCTCTTATTTACTCATATTTCAATGTTTTTCAATTGATTCAAATTGAATAGATTACTAACAAAGATATTAATGTAAAGAAATTGTATTTACCCTGTTCATTATGTGTGTGACTTGTATGAAGTGTAGTAGATGTATCTTTAATATTCAACTATTTCTGTTTTTCTTTTCAGTATTATTCATCCTGTGAAGATGGTTTTTGGCTTTGTAGCAATTGCAGCTGCTTTTGGAGGTTTTGTATTCTGTACAAATAATCAGTGGAAAGCCCGCAAGTTCAAGAAAGACCATCCCATCATCAGTGTGTTAATAGTGCTAGGGGCAGGCTATCTGCTTGTCTACATGCTTGGTGCTGTAATAGTCTTTTTGCTTGGAATAGCTTTTCCACTTATGTGTAAGTACAGACTCTAGCTTTCTTCACAGGAATACTGTACTCAGTTTCCCTTTTAGTTTTACACTTATTTGTAATGTAATTGTTTTGTTTATATTCTATTTTGTATTCTTTCTCTGACTTTTCTAGACCGATCTCTAATATCTTCCTTCCCCCTTCTCTTTGGCATCCCCCTTTTTCTCTCACATTTTCCCTTCCCTCCCCTGAGATCTCCACTTTCCCCTATTTCTGACACCTTCCCTCTTTTCTCCTCTTCTCTCTGACACCTTCCCTCTTTTCTCCTCTTCTCTCTGACACCTCCCCCTTTTCTCTCTAACACCTCCCCCTTTTCTCTCTGACACCTCCCCCCTTTTCTCTCCTCTTCTCTCTAACACCTACACCTCTTCTAACACCTCCTCCCTTTCTGTCACCTCTCCCTTCTCTCCTCTTCTCTCTGTCATCTCCCCAATTTGGATTGTAAGATGTTTAAGAACCCTTGAATCATCTTAAAACAAATAATTATAACTAATACATGTCAATTTATTTTGTAATTCTAATATTTCAGTTTCTTTAGCTGCAGGCTGATTTGAGAAATATCAATATTTATCTTGCAATTCATCACTTCAAATTAATTGATAAGGTTGAATATATTTCTTTGTTCTGGGTTTTCTTACTCTAGCAGTGAATTGGAGAGTGAATAAAGACAATTTGTGAATTTGTGATTGTCCTGCTGGAGTGGTCAAGGAGATATTTCACAGATGTGATGTCATAATGATATTGAGAGTAGATAGAAACCCTAAAGGAAAAAGTGATTTTTAAAAAAATTATATAATTCAATTTGACAAAAATTCAGATAAATCTTCTACCTACAGAAAAAAACTCCTGAATATTCAAATACTTTTCATTGACCTATAGCATAAGCTTTAAAAATGACTAACAGATTTAGTATATTTATAAATAATTTAATCTTCAGCATTACTAATTTTCAAATATTTTCTTACATTTTCTACTGCAATGCTGTGCAAAACTAAATTTATTTTTCTAAATGTATTTTATTGAAACATAAATGCACCTCACATCATAATTTTTCAATGTTCTTTCTAGTTTAGGTTCAACTTATGAACTGTTTAGAGTTTTGTTTCACTGATAAAATAGTAGTAGCCATATTGAAAGATTAATATTATAAAAGGAGATAATGTAACCAGAATAAGCAGATTAAGGTTGATAGTGCTAAACAAGTCAATGCAGCTTTTTCAATATTTGTTAATGTCAAAGAGAAAGATGGATGAACATTTCTGTAAACAAAATTGATTCATTACTGAAATATAAACAGAAATATTAAAAATAATTTTGTATTTAATACAGATGTTTATATCTATTTTGCTCTCAATAAAGGTCAGATTTAATGCAGGGGCTTTTTATACATGTAGAAATAGATGCAAAAATTGCTGTCTTCACAGCTGCCACTGCAAAAGCATCAGGGTGACACAAAGTACAAGAGTGTTCCCAGCCCTGAAAGGTCAGAGATGAAAGAGGTATGTTATTCATAATTAACTAACTAGTGGTCATAAAATAATGCCTAGTCATTCATACATAAAAAATGTATGCTATTAATTTACATAACATCTAACAAGAGGAGAGAAGGGGCGATGATGGAGAGAGGAATATGTATATGTTTTTTTTTTTTTTTTTTTTTTTTTTATGGTTTCATTTTTTTTTTTTTTATTTTTTCCAGTAATTTTGCTTCATGCTTCATTGCGTATGAGAAGCATCAAGAACAAGTTCACAAACAAGATGGAATATATAGGTTTGAAGCGGACTCCAATGGGAATCATATTGGAAGGTTTTGGCCAGGATCAGGATGGTTCCTAGAGATACACTAAGCAAGTTATGCTTTTTTGCAAGACGTCGCCTTCATCCACAGACAAGTGATTTAAAAACAAAAAAAAAACCCTGGAGGAAAAAGATTAAAATTCATGGCTGAAGTTTGCTATTGCAAATATTGGTGAGCAAGTCTCCCTTGTCAGCATTGCAGATGAATCTAGTCCCAACTTTCCCAACTTCATTTTGTAATACTATTAGCAGTCAGGCTGGCCACTTTTCTTTTCTTTTCTTTTTTTTCTTTTTCTTTTTTTTCTTTTTTTTTACTTTTACTTTTTTGGCATTAATTGCCTTCAACACTGACTTGCTCCTGCTGATTACACTGAGGTCAAAGGCCACCATCTCAAAATGTACAAATATTGACCACTAGGTGAGCACTGACCCTGCCACCTATGCCTACAATATTAATGTAAATTTTTTTTTATCTCTCTTTCTCTATGCTCTGTTCTGAACTTTTACAAAAAATTTTCTCTCACTCGATGCCCTCGTAATATTGTATACTATTAATGCCTGCCTATTGCAGCATCACTTGTTTCCTTTTAAGATTCTCTTTAATTGTATTTACATTAAAGTAAAAACTGAGCTTATGTGATTGAATTGTTTAGGTATGGGGGGGGATTTTTTTAATTCTTTTTATTTATCTAACAATCATGTTGGCTTTAAAATTTAAAAAGAATATTCTCTACTATTTTCTGATATTATTTGAATTTTTTTTTTTTTCTTTTTTGTCTTGGGCAAACTATTTTCTTGATTAACAAATGCAATGATCAGAATAAATGAAAGAAGTTTCCATCAATATTTTCATCTTCCTTCCTGCTTGTGGAAACAAATAATTTGATATTCCATTATCTAATTCAATGTTTGTCCATTCTGTCTACAATATATCTGCAATTGACATTGATGACTGAATGATTTGAAATTACAAGAAACAAAAACAATAAAGAAACACTAATGTATGTTTGCATAAACTACAAAACTTTATAAATTAGTTGAATATCTGATCAACGCAGTATGATTGTTTTATGTATTTCTTATTTTATCTTCCTTTCCTCCATTCACTTTGTGTCTTAGCCTTGTGTATTGTTTTCTTTGCTTGTCTGTCTCTAAAGACCTTCAATCTCACCACTGTTACCAACTGAAATAAATAAACTGAGGATCTGTCTACACTCCTCTTACTCTGTCTTCATTGTAATTAATTGTTAAATCTCCTTCATTTCATTTTGCCAATTAAAAAGGCATGAATTCATCTATTTTACAATTTCCACTTACATGACTCCAGATCTCGATTAAGAGAAAATTCCAACACATTTCATTCGTTCTGAAAGTGATTTTGAACTTGACGTTCAATCTAAGGTCAGTGAGTTGGTGCCAAATTCCAGTCCTTTCCTGATTGATTGATTATTTGATTGAATGATTCGGATTTTTTTTTAAAAAAATCCAAAAGTCCATTTTTATTGCCTTAATAAGATATGACATTATTTTTTTTTTTTTCCATTTGGTTTTGAATTGTCCAAATTTTATTTTGAAATCATAAGAATCAAATTTGTAAGTTTTACAAATTTTGTTCTGATGCCATTTAAGAAATTGCCTTCTTATAAACTTCAAGTGATGGAGAAAAAATGAAAAAAAAAAAGATACATATATAATTTTTGTTGATTTTGGAAAAATTTTATTCTGAATCTGTTAGCCAAAGTTAAGCTAGATTTTAGCTTGACAGAACAGGATGAAGATTAAAATTGTTTCAGCTTTCTCTTTTTTTTCTGAACTAAAAAAAGATCAAGGTATTTTCTAAAATTTTAAAAGAAAAAATTCCTTTACAGTTTCTAATGCAAGTGTTTGCTCTGTATGGGTCCCAATTTTTTTCTCCTTTCCTTTCTAATCTTCACTCCATCGACAAGACAGCAGCAGAGCCTTTGTCTTCCCTCTGTGTATTTCTCAAGTTTCAAACAAAATAAAAGAAAATATTAAGTCTACAACAACTAGATTTTTTCTTTTGGCTTTGCTTTATTGTTGTTGGTTTTTCTTTTTTTTTCTTTTCTTTTTTTTCTTTTCTTTTTTTTCTTTTCTTTTCTTTTTTTTCTTTTCTTTTTTTTTTATACATCAGAGCAAAATTTATTTGCAATAATTTCTTTCATTTTTCTGGATAGGTAAGTTTTTATTTTTATTTTATTTTTTTTTTTTATAAACTTATTTTTATTTTGTTTTTGGGTGGGGGTGTATAAGTCATTTACCTTTGTGTACTAAACTAAAAATGATTTTTCTCTTTGAAAATCAAAAAAATAAAATTTATTTGTTGCTTCATTTGTTTTAATTTGATTTAAAATTTTAAAACTTCTACTTGCATGAACAAATGAAAAAGGTTTACAGTCCTAAATCTGGACACCACTTGTGATCTTTTGTGCTTATATCTTCACAAGATGCCCTCTCCAAAATCTTCTGCTAACTTAAAATCTTCACTTCTATCTAAAATATATTGACAGGAAAGTTGTATTTTGGAGTGGTAGAAATGCTTCTTTTATATTTTTTTTTCTTTTTGTTGTTGTTCTAAAACATTTCATCACACAGGACTTAGTGTTGCTTACAGTACTTCATGCTCCTAAGCAGTCACTTATCAAGATTTGACGCTGCTTACTTTTTTTGGTGATTAGATGAAAACTGGTTAATTTACTAAAATTTGCTTATCACTAACTGTATACATTGTACTGTGTATTCTGTCTCAAGTTTTTAAATAAGAGGTTGCTGAGAACTTTTACACATGTACAATTTTGCAAAATAAGATGAAACTAGGACATCCATTGGAATGACACATAGAATCCACATGCTTCTGGTCAGCACAGTCATTAGCTTTTGTATTATCTCCATCCCTCAGTCCTCTAGCAGTGTCTCTATAAATGTGAGTCTTCCTTAACTTATTGTTTGCATAGTTGCCATAGTACCAATTTTCTGGCAACTTTGTCTTCATGCCAGATACAGTGTCCTGCTTTCAGTTAGGTTCGTTATATTCACTCATATGTAAATACTCTTGGGAAAAGTATGAATCTATCTCCTCCTCCAGCTATGGGTTAAATAGTTTATCTGGAAAAACTATTGTCATTCTCAAAAATATTTTTCATGCAATATTCACTTGCCAAAAAAGAATTCTTAACAATCCAAAATATGTTTCAGCTTTAAATAAACTACAAATGGTTGAGAATCCATTTTTTTTTTTTTTTTTTTTTTTTAAAAAAACAAACCACAATGTTCTTTGCTACACAATTTTGGTTGCTCATTATATAGTTCAACATTTGATGCGTAACTTCTTCAGGACACATTTACACAAGAATGCTTTGGATGGCACTTAATGCAAATAAGAGAGGAATATATTTAACTTGCATTTTTGGTGAGGAAAGGACATGCTATGTTCAAGTGTATTTAAATAAACTTAATAATTAGATTTGTTTTTGAATTTATCAATTTTAACATAAACATACTTTTACAGTCTTTTATTGATGCAAATAAATGATATACTGTTTTTTTTTTTTTTGTTTTTTTACCAGAATTATTTCCTTATTATCAGCCAACTTATTTGTTTATATAAAGTTAAATTATTAGAAATAAATGTGGCCTTATGTCTAATTCTTAAGCACCAAAACTTAAGAATAAACAGCAAACTTTAACTTTCATTCCCACAAAAAAATGGTGTGTTAAAAAGACAATATTCTTTTGACACCACTCTTATTTTGTACTACTACCTTCATGTAATAAATAGGACTAAGCATCGGTGATGTTGGATTCATTTGTGACGGCTGCCATTTTTGATTTCCATGACAGCACAAGTGTGGACACTACTTAGAATGATCAATGGTCACTTTTTACCTGGTCATTGAGACATGAAGAAGCAATGTATTTTAGAAGTGTTGAGACAGTGATTCTTTGGGGTAATCAATTGCTAAAAGCTATTTTGGCACTTATGGACAGCCGTTTTGACATAAAATTAATTCCTGAGTTTGATGGGTCCAGCTCTGTTGTAGAATGGATGGGAAAAGCCCAGATGGTGTGCAGAGTGAAACAAGTTGAACGGGTTCTCCCTCTTCGACTTGTGGAGCCTTTGCTGTGTATTTACAGTTGAGCCAGGAGGATAAACGGATATAACCCAAACTAAAAAGGTCCTATGCATGTTGAGGAGTTTGCGACCTGTTGAGACAGTTGACGTCTATTTGGCTGTGTGCCTTTGCTGTTGGCCTGCTCGAACACATGAAACATCTCTTGCATGCATCATCCAGAATGGATGATCTTCCTTTGGAACAGTTGCTGGCACGAGCAATAATGAAAGATGAGGGAACCATAAATGAACAAGTTGCGGCAGCTGCAGATCTGGAGACACATTCAATCACATCTTTCATGCTTAACCTGTGAAACAACTACTTGCCACAATTGTGGAGGCCCCAATCATCTGGTCAAGGAAGAGTTTGGGGTGAGCATGGAGCTATACATTGCTATTGATGTGGAGGTTTGAGGCATATATTGCGGAATTCTCCGGGAAACTGCTCAGCGGAGTAGCATGATACCAGATGCCCCCACAGTAATGACATGAATGGACATGTTTTCCCTATGCAGAAAACTTGTGGGGCACCTCCCTATGTGTGCCTGGCTCCAGGTGGCAACCGGTGTCATCAAGCGGCAAGCAACCATTGTCATAAAAGGATAGAATGACAAGATTGAGGACACTGTTCTTAGGTGTATGATAATGGAGACTATTGACAGGGTGAAGCAGGACAACCTGACCCGTGGTGTCTGGTGTGTAGAGAAACAAGACATGAACATTTGGATTGATGCAAGTTCCCTGCCAACAGGTATGGTCCTGGTAAAGAATGGGTCTGTTTCAGAAGGTATGTGTTGGCTTAGATTTATATGGTGGGTATCATTCGTTGGCCTATCTGAGCTGGATGGAACATTGAAAGGCACCACCTTGCACTCCAGTGGAAAGCCAAAAAGTTACATATGAAGATGGA